CCCCAAAACCCCAAAACCCCTATTATCAAAGTATGTGCGAAAGGAAGATTAAATAAATTTAAATATTAATAATAGAAAGTCTTGGTATGGCTATATCAGGACTAATAAGATTGAAAATTTTAAGTTATCACTAGCTTATGGCTCGCTTTTATAAAGCAAGTATTGTTAAATTTCATTGATATAGGTATGGTTCATTCATTATTACGGTCTACATTGATTCTTTTGGTACAAAGCATGCTTTATGTTTGCATTAAAGTTTGATGACTTTCATTTTCTTACTAATTTTATAGCTTGAATATATTTTACTAGTTCAATAGAATATCTTTATGATCTTTCAGAGAAAGTAATTGACTTAAGTAATTATTTGAAACATAAAAATCCATTTTAGACTCTCTCTAGTTAATTGTGTTAGTAGACAGATCTTGATTGTCTTGTCCTGATAATGATTGATTGTTGTCTTTAGAGTCAGTGGAACTATCACATTTTTGAACTGCCCTAAAAGCTCCCCCTGAATTTGAAGATCTAAGCTAAAGTTTCGCAGCTTAGATTTATCTCTTTTCTTGTAAAACATTTGTATTGTTTAATTCCTCTATCTCTATCTAGTTATTAGACTTAAAAATTGTCTCTTCAATAGCTAGTCTAGACAATTTGTATTTATCAATGAAGCAGTTATTATAGCTGCTCTTTGAAAAATCTCTAAAGGACTTTCCTAATGCTTCATCATTCTGAAATTAGTTATCCTGATGCGATTTACTTGAGAATTTCTCAGATTCATCTTTTCCTTTATCCACTAATCTTGTAGTCATCTCTTGAAAATCTTATGGTTAAATAGTAAAATTGTGTGCTTTTGCCTCATTTAGTCTTTTGGCCTGATATTTGAAATAACTTGGTCTTATTCTATTTTCCTATCTTATCTGAGAAGGACTTCCAATGCTTGAATCAAAGTTATTGCTCAATCCTTAATGTTTTTGTAAAATCTGAGGTCAAATACACAAGGATGGACTTAAGACTGAGTGATTTGAGGAATTATCATTTTTTATGTCAGTTGACTGCTTTAAATACTATTAGAGAATAGCACTCTGCAAAGGTTGTTGTTGTTGTTACTTGAATGAGGCAATGAAAGAACTTAGATTACTCAGAATTTAACTTTTTACTATTTAATCCTAATTTGGAGATTCTCTTTCTGAAAGTATTGCCAAATTTTATTCTGGCATACTATACTAGATGGGAGAAAGGTCCTTTTATTTAATAATAGAAGGGTCACTATTATTATATACTAGCTTCTTAATTACTTGCATTTACATGCTGTTCTAATTGTTTTAATTTTATATAGATAAGCTATATTCCAACAATTTTTAATAAACCTCTTGGTGATTTTTCAGCAATTGCTAATCTTAGCCTAAGACTTATGCATTATCTTAATTCTCAGCTATATTTCGCTATTTCAAGGCAATATCCTATTCTTTTAGCTGTGCCTGATTTTTCTAGTTTTAGATTTCAGGATTCAACCTAACTTTTTTGGGATTAAAGTTAGATTCCTCAAATCTCTTATTTTCATTTGAATTTTAAAATTGATGGATTTAAGGCTAATGTCTTTTTGCCAGAAGAGTTTGAATTTCCTGATCTTCGACGCGTTAATTTTATTATTTCTGGTTTATTTCCTTATTTAGCTACTAGTATTTATGAACTGGTAAACCCATCATGCTTTCATGGATTTACTGACTAATACTTTTAATCTAAGGGTCTCTATTGGTTTGAGCATAGTCTATTTAAGCTTCAATCTTTCTAATTTGCTTTAGTCTTCGTTTTTAAGATTTTAATTATTCAAAATTATCAGAATTTACTCTATCAGAAAATTACTAAATCGCTTGCGACTCCTGAATCTAAAATTTCTAGAGCGTATTGTTTAATTTAAAATCTTCCAACTGTGTCTCTTCCTTCTTCAAATGAAACCCACAAGTCTCAACTATGAATTTGAATATCACAAATCTTACTTTTTTAATCCAAAAGATACTTTTCGTATTAGTCTTTGTGGGAAATAGAGTAGTGCTTTTTGAGACTAGAGGGATAAAGGTACATTTTGTCGCAGCTATCATATTTAATCATTATATATTTGATGACAATTTATCTTACTTTTCGAATATGCACTTAAACTGGCTTCGCACTTCCTATAAAGTTATCATTTCATGTAAGGAATACCTGCTAGTCGTGGATCTGAAGGTGTTATTTGAGGTTGGAGCCCGATGCAAATTATTTTCCACAATTATCGCAAGTATAGGGCTTTTCTCCAGTATGTATACGCTAATGTCTGATAAGATTAGAAACCTACGGAGAAGAACATTGAGTATGGAAAGATATAGGGAAAGGGAAAGGATAAATTGCTTACTTGAGAAAATGCTTGGTTGCACTCTTCGAAATCACATTTATAGGGTTTTTTCTTGTCGTGAACTCTAGCATGCTTTTGAAGAGAAGAATACTATGTGAAAGTTTAGTCACATAACTCACTATAATAATATATTAATAAAATGATTGTTTGAAGGAGTACCATTTAAAAGGTCGGAACTAATTGTGAGTCCTTTCATGCTCCTTAAGAGCTTTCTTACAATTGAACAGCTTGTCACATCCGCCTTAAGTACAAGGGAAAAACATAGTATAGATATTTCGATGAATGAAGTATAATTTAAGCAAATATTTAATTTGTTTTATTCCTTATTCACTTTACCCTAGTGCACTCGTGATTTAGCAACACGGGGTTTTGGGGTTTTGGGGTTTTGGGG